TTCCGTCGGACTACGCTAGTATCTCGTCGCTGGTTCCAGACACGCACGGCTTCACGGTCTTCACATCGACGATCCCTGATGTCTGGATCGGTATGGACCATCTGTCAATTACGTGGTGTGACCAGTTCCGCAAGGCAATCATCAAGTCGTTGTTCGACGTGGTGGATGTCCGTCGGGCCAGCCAGACAAAGCCCAGGGCCGAGCGTATGCGGATCTTCAAGAAATGGTATTTGACTGGATTAGAGCCGACCGCTGAAAGAACGCTCCCACAGAAAGGTGCGTATGCGATAGCACTCGTCGATACTGTTGCTAATTGTTATTAGAACCATCTACATTATTGACGCTGGAAGATAGCACCAACATCATCCTGCCGCAAGGCCAGCGACTAATTCTTCGCGAGCTCGGCCACAGCCCGAATACCAACGTCCACCTGCTTCCAGTTCCGCCGCAGGGTGTGTCGGGGAAGAAGTTTACTCTTCTTACAGATCAGAATTTAGACAACCCCGGAGAGCAGGGGACATTGGAGGTTCTCTTCTGCAGTGTCTTCCCGTTGCACAACGGCAAGTTTGCCAGCATTTTCTCGATGAACATGGACTTTTCCGGGAGTAGCGCCGGCTCGACGCGCCTGGCTTGCAAGAACGCTGCGGAGGATGGCATACACCTACCAGCGTCGACGAGGACCTCGAAGCAAGCGTATGACCGGACCTCTCCTTTCTCGTATCTCCAGTACGATCTGGAGGATTTGGTCGAGCACCAGTTTGTGGCAGTGGTCGACAAAGCGCGGTCTCCAACTCGCGGCTGGGTGGTGGCGGAGTTCTCCGACAGCTCTGACTCGGTCATCCGAGCTCGTGTGGGCTTGGGCGGCTTGCTCAGTGCTGGACTGAAGATGAGACTTCCGGCGAACCGCCCAATGCTCACCGAGGTGAGAATTCCGGCGCTGCATTCGAGTTTGTTGAATTACAAGCTTAAGATCGTCCGCCGGGGTTACGGAGAACAGCCCGAGCTGTTTGCACCGCTATTGCGCCAGTCGATCCCTGATCCCCACGAGTCCAAGTTCTTTGTCAATGTGAAGCAGGTCAATGTCAATCTGCACGGTGTGGCCCCGTTCATGCCTCCGCCCCTTCGTGAGCAAGCCACTCTGGGTGGAGTGTCTTTCCATTTGTGGACAGATCCGAGCAGCGAGTCAACGGTTGACATCTCCTTGTCGGTGGACGTCCTGGGTAGTCTAGGTGAGCTCGTGATGCGGTACCGCACCGTTTTTGCTGCCTTCCCGATTCTGGTTATTGCTTTGGTTCTGCGCAAGCAGTTTCAGGTCTATGACGAGACGGGTTATTTCATCACCTTCGCAGAGGGGTTGGATAGCACACTGCGGTCGTCTTTGCCTATTTTGCTGCTCGCCATGTCGTTGCTGGCTTCTTCCCTGGCTACGTCGACTACGCTGCCTCCAAGCGATGATCCATTTCATTGGCGCACCAACTCCACGGAGTCGCCCATTGATTTTACGAAGAATGACCTACTGTTGGGATCGCAGGATGCATTCTTTTGGTTCTTGGTTCCTGTGTTCGGTCTGATCAGTGTGGGCGTGTGCGTGATGATGAACTATGTGGCTCTGTCCCTGCTGTCGGTTTTGTCTTTCTTCTATGGTCTGTTGAACAGCAAGTCGGGGTATATCAAGCGTGATGACAAGGGGTGAGTTATCCTCTAATATTTTTCATGCACAATGCTAACCATATCAGCAACCTTCCCATCTTTTCGGCCCCTACGCCCAGACGGCGGTTGATTAATACCGCTATTCTGCTGATTCTTGTTGCGACTACTATTCCGTATCAGTTTGCCTATATGGTGGCGTGCATCGTGCAGCTCGCTACTTGCGTGCGAGCCCAATGGCATGCGAAAGAGACGGTATGCATACTTGCGTTGTTGACTTGCGTTTGCTAACAATCACAGAAATCTACGACTCATTATAATTTCGCCAATCTTACATACTCGATCTTTCTCCTGATGCTGTGGATCCTGCCGATCAACATCCTAGTCCTGCTCGTGTGGGCACATAACCTCGTGGTGCATTGGTTCATGCCATTCTCCTCCCACCACAATGTGCTGTCAATCATGCCGTTTATCCTGCTCGTTGAGGCCATGACGACAGGAACGATGGTCCCTCGAGTCAGCTCACGGTATGCTCTTTCAATACTAATTTAATCTCAAAGCTAACTGAACAGGCTAAAAAACGTCACCTCCCTCATTCTCTTCGCCCTTGCCACCTACTCCGCAGTCTACGGCGTCTCCTACGGCTACCTTCTCCATCACCTTACTAATCTATTCGCCGCCTGGCTCGTGGGCATCTACCTCTTCAGCAGCGGCTTCTCACCCCGCCGACTTTGGCGCATCCTAGAAGGCGACGACGCGAACTCCTCGGCCGAACCAGGGAGTAGTCACATGAAGAAAAAACCATAATTCTACTACACCATACATATCTTATCCTTTATTCTTCTATTATATGTCCCGTTGCATCTTACCGGTTGCGGACCATGATTAACGGCGTTTTGCTAGTTTTGGAAGCGGCGTTTGCTTTTTGTTTTCTGACCGTGGGTCGATGTACAGGATTGTGCTTGTTATGTGCTCATATGAATGATTTTATATTATATCGTGTTTGAGTGATCCTGACGGAAGTTGGGATCTGTGATGGCGGATGGATGTATCTTATTAGCTTTGTGTGTGTTGTTGATACTGTCTGAGTGTGAGAGTGTGTTTGTATATACGGTTGGATCTGGAAATAGACTTTGGCCGGGTAATAGTGACGAGAGACGGTGTTGCTGTTCATATTTTCCCACTATCGTTGATTTAGACGACATCTATAACCTAGAATATTTTCACATCATGCCTCTTCAGTCGAGTGCCTTGATCATTCTACGCTATATCCAAGCCACATTAGACATGACGCAGCATGTCCCGAAGTAGGATCTACCTTGCTGACCACTTCACGGGCATCTACCACGAGATAAGACTGATTCCAAATCGAGCTGCTAAATCTGGTCAGATGTAGTAACACATTGACCTCATAAAAGACACGCGTCCGAGCCAAGACGAAATTTACTTGTCACCAGATATGATATAGTCCAAGATAGCCCTGGTTTCTAAATTCGAATTCCAACTCCTGCGCATGCAGAGCTTGTCAGCTTCAATATATTCTGGTCTCTAATCACATTCTATAGTTCCATATAAGATTTGATTAACATCCCTTAAAGCTATACATACACTTAACAGTGAAAAAATCTTTCAAGACATTTACTACAGCTAGACAGCTGTCAGCTGATTCTTCGCCTCTTCTTTTTGTATGGTCTCCGACCACCACCTCTTCCAACCAACCAACCACCCACCCAACCCCTTGAGATCTAGATAGATCGAATCCATATATCTTTGACCCTTCGTCTTGACAACATCTACCCCCGAGGCCCCCGAAACATAAGGAACAAGCCAAAATGCTCATCTTCCTCGGCAAACTTACCTACCCGCCCTACGCCACCAATGAACTTTTCGCAGTCATCTTCAGCAACAACATGCAACAGGGCGAAAAAGTAGCCGTCGTTCACCAATGGACTAAGGATGCGGCGGGACAGGCAAAAGCCAATTCTTTTGCGCAGGGGACTGTTGATAAGGCGGTTATCACGTCGACGGGGGAGAAGGAGATTGAGTTCTTTTATGGGGAGAGGGAGACGACTTATTACTGGTACATGCTTTACTTCTTCTTTCCCCTTTCTATAGGAGTATTGGTTTCGGAGTGGTTGAGTAATTGCTAATATGTGGGGTTGTCTGTAGGTATAAGGGTACCCAATCGGGGAGTAAATTGACATTGTCAATGTTCAACAAGAGTGGAGAAGAGGTGGTCAAGAAGATTGAGCTTCTGGCGACGTATTATTGATCATTATCTGGTATTCTGCTTTCGTTGTGAAATCCATAAATCATACATCATAATGCTACTCGCATTAGACAGAAAGGAACAGAGCTCAACAAGAAGCAGTCAGTCTATGAGCTATAATCCTTCCACCTTCCACCTTCCATAGCCATGACATAAATGGTTATCGCCTCACCCTCTCAAATACTGCCTCATACCTCTCCAACGCCTCAGTAAACCTCCTCGCCGACTCAGTTAACCTTTCTAACGCGTCATCTAGTCTCTCTCGTGCTTCGGTATACCTTCGATAGGCCTCGTGGAAGTTTTCTTCTGATTTTTCATAGTTCTTCTTGGCTTCTTCGGTTGCCTTTTGTGCATGTACTGCCATGTCTCGTGCTGAGTGGGCTGCCTTTCGTGCCTCTTCGAAGGCTTCGATGAGAGGTGAGGGTTCGTGGTCCGTTTGGGTTAGAGGGAGGTGGGATTGGATGTGGCAGAAGATGGACATGTTTACGGTTGAAGGTATATAGGCAGAAAGGTTGCGCCTGAGCAAAGGAATGGTGTTTGCCTGTGAAGGTGGGTTTGGGGGTCTTGATGGGAAACAGTTGTGTTAGGTGCAGTTACCAAAGCAGCGGTAATATCAGGCTGAATGATAGTTGAATTTTGCGCGCATATGATGTACATATGACGGCTGAAGGCAAATTCCTTAAATTATACTGCCTGCTTAGTGTATGTTTCTTGTAAATGTAAATGTATGTAAAGTTTATTTGTTCAGGAAGTTGGGTTTTAATCTTGAGACAACCGGTATCAGCTGATCTTGGTCTCATCTATACATATCGATTGCTACTCCTCGCACTCCGCAAAGACTTCTGAATAGCACTGCAGGGTCTACGCCTAAAATCAACTATACATGAAATCCCGAACTCCATGCGGACTTCCCCGCTATTCAAGCAGCGCTCACTTTCTCGCAAAACAATCTCAATGATTGCATCTACAAATACCACCATCCCCCCTTCAAAGTTTTTGGTAGTCAAACCTTCAATAACCATCCACCTCACCCTACCGGACTGATACCATTCTGATCAATCTCACGTTCACCTTCGTTTGAAATATGGATTGTGAGGGCTCACCGGATTACAAGGCTCTCTACTTCGAAGCCAAGACAGAACTGGACAGAGAGAGGGAAAGAACCAGGAAAGCAGAGGAACGCGCTGATGTGTGTTTGAAAATTGCTAGTGGAGCACAAGAAAGAGAAAAAGAAACACAAGAAGAACTGCATGAAGCACGGGAGAAAATACATAAAGCACGACAGAAAATGTATGAAGCAATAGGAAGAGAATTTGATGCATACAGAGAATGTCAAGAAGCACAGAACAGAGAATTTGAGACGTGGAGAAGAAGTCAAGAAGCACGAGACAGAAATTATGCAAGGAAAAATAGTGAATGAGAAACAGCTGAAAGAAGATGGAGGACATCAAGAGTCTGATGAATCACAGAAACAGGAGGTGGAGGAACAGTGGGTAAGGAAAGAAGCGGAAGAATAGCAGGACTAGTTCTATAGTGATCACCGACAGGACTAAGAGGATTCCTGAGTGCAATGTTGGGGTAATGGGAATCAAGGTATTCCAACTATGCATTTCAAAGTGCATGATAAAGGCCTGTACTCATTGAGACTGCTCTCATTGCTCTCAGAGTATGTATTGCGGTGTTCTAGAGTAGATGCTGCAGAGATGCTCGCCTTTCGTTAACCACACTCTCATACTATCAGTTACAGCCCGAGGTTAGTGCAAGAAAGTTTTGAATTGGAGATTGTTTTATAGAGAAATCCTCGCTACGAATGAACCCTAGACTTGTGATATATACTATTAGATTCCTTGCTGCTATTGTTTCGAATTACTTCGACTTGCGGACACCCCACTAGGGCCCATGGAACCCTCAAACACATCTATTTGAAGTACATACTTAGAATGAAGTAGGCATTACTAAGGGCAAAATTGGTGTGCTTAGTCTGGATTAACCTAGGCTTTCCATAATCCTGGCAAGCCAAGAATGCAAACACGCGGGTAAACATGCGCGGAAGACACCTGTGAAAACGACTATAAAGTTACTCATTCAAGCGTCCTTGAAATCATACACAAACACTCAGGACATGTGCCCATACAGCTGTGTCTCCCCATCCCAGCCCTTCGTTTGATCAACGCGACTTATTGGGAATTCAAACGTCTGGAAGTTTGTGTCACTTTAGACTGGTCGACCAGAAACTTCTACTCCTGATACGCGGGTCTCGCCAGGCAAAATCACCTTTGACTCATTATAGTATCATGAACTCGCCCAAAGATCGCTCTATGCCTGACGCTGAAGGTTTGTAATTTGGAAAGTTCATTCGCCTTTGAGCTGTCATCACCACCCTTGTTTGAAAGACGGGATGGTACGTGGTTACCGCTTTGATGTGATACAAGAGGCTCTACGATGCAAAATAGCGAACACCGAAATCCTGGATAAAGGGGAAAACGAAACAATTGTCCATCCATCCAGATTGGCGTCGGCGTCATGGTTTGACCAACAGGAAGAATCTTTTCACATTTCTCATCGGAAAGGGAAAACAGCATGGACCTCCAGCTGGTCCCCGAAAGAAGGCAAGATGGATCTGATTTGCGTGTCTACGATACGGGTTTCTCCGTTTGTTGGTACGACCTCATCAATGGAAGTCTTTCTGAGGTGGCTGTACTGGCTCTCCCCCTCATCAGCGCCCCTTGATGGACGCAGCTACAAAGTGGTATAAATTGATAGCTCACATCCACGGCCAGTTGGCGTTCTACGCTGTCTATTTCTACACAGAGCTCTCCGATAAACTCCTCGAAATTCCTCCATTGTGTATTTTGCCACTCCAACAGCTGCATTATCTTCACTTTTCCCATCGTATATCCACATATAATGGGTGGTGACAGTTCCCCTGAGTACAAGACTCCCCCGGAAAGGATTTTCGAAGCAGATAGCGCGGCTAGTGCAGCAAATACAACAGCTGATACGGCAAGTCAACGAGCTGATGCAGCAGAGAAAAGAGCTGATGCAGCAGAGGAAAGAGCTGATGCAGCAGAGAAAAGAGCTGATGTAGCAGAGGCAAGTGCTGACACAGCAATTCAAAAGGCCCATGCAGTCATACAAAGTGCCGAGGAAGACAAGCGACGGGCTCAGGAATATGAGAAGAAAGCACGGGAAGAAGGGGAACGGGTAAGAGAGGAATTGGAGGTGGAGAGGGAACGGTTAAGAGAGGAATTGGAGGTGGAGAGGAAACGATCGAGACGTACGACATTTGGAGAACTCCTTCAGTACTGCCATACCATATTTTCAGCACCCCTTAGAGTCGAAAAGCTCACTAGCTGCACAGAGGTAGAGACCCTGCAGCCCAAAGGAAAATATTGCCCCTTGAAGCTCGAGCTATGGAAAAGCTGTGATACCGAGCAAGAAAAGATCTATCGGGCTGTTCGTATGTACCTTGAGCCGCCAGGAAGTGCTGCGTTCAGGCTCTTCACACCTCGTCTTGGTTTGGAAAGCATGGGCGAACATTTTGACAGGCCAATAAGCAGTGAACGAGATGTGGCAGCTCATGGACAGTTTACCGTGGAGAGCCAAGTCCAGAAGATTCTTGCGGAGCTCTGCAATATACCGGCCGCAAGAGCTGAATTTCGTTTGGGCAGTGGAGTTCGGTTCGACAGTCATGCAAATTGTCTTGACGATGTCGAAGCTGACAAACAGCAAGACCGGACAGCGGACGGAAAGGACGAGGAGTTATCAAATTGCCAGCATCTGAGACCAGAACAATATTGCATCTACCAAGTCGATGGTGAAAATAACAAGCTGATAATGACAGTTTGGTACAAGCCAGCGCATAAACTCCATGTCGAAAATATCCGCTTGGGACTGCGTCCCATGGAATTCTGGAAGGAGATACTGGATGCTAAAACCATTCCCAACGATCTGGAAAAGAAGATAGAGTACGATGCGGCTTTTCTAACCGGTTCTGCTATTGTTCAAGCGTATCATGTTATGATCACGAAGGGACTTGAGTATTCCTATGTGAGCACTGGGCTAGCATTGATCATGTTGCGAGTCCCCTACGACACTCCGGGTACCCTGTACTACCGTCTCTTTGAGCCCAATAGGGAAATCACTTCACAAGATGACAAAAGATTCACGGCTCCATTAACATCCGTGGCGCGTGTCCTGGGTCTGTGTCTAATGAGCTGTAGCTCGACACTTCGTGATCAGAATTGGCGAGATACGGCAAAAAGGGACCTGCCGATTTGGACAGCAAGCTTCAATACCACACCTTTCAGAGCCACGCAAACTGAGTTGAACGCAAGTCCGGCTGCTTTGCGGAATCCTTACACCGCAACCGTCGAGGACACCTCCGCAGACACCTCGACAAAGTGCCAGCCATCCCAATTTTCTATTATGTCGCCGACAGAAGACTGCAGGATGCCGACTCCGACTCGTATGCGGCGCCACCTAACCCCAGACGCAGATACCAATACAGGCCCCAGGAGACAAAAGCGTCGAGTCAGCGAGAATGCTGAGCCATCGGGGGTCCAAAAAGACTCTAAAAGTAGCGGAAAAGTCTCCCACAAAGATATAGCCCAATTTTGTACCCAGCGTTGTTTGCTTGGTCTGCAGTATGGGAGAAGTCTGGACAAACAGTGTCCGAACGTGGCGCTGCACCGGCTAGGTGCAAATGGCGACCACCACCAGATTCTTCCTGGTAAGCTGGTCCAAGAAATCGAGAAGCAGCTTAATAAAGAAGTTGACCATGGATGCACGCCCATCGGTGGCTGTGCGTCAACCGGCCCACTTTTTAAAATCACATTTTCGACACTTGGGTATACTGTGGTTGGCAAAGGAGCCTCATCTGATCGTTGGAAGGAAAAAGTCTCTCATGAAGCAGACATTTACCGCATACTTCACCAAGCGCAGGGATCTGCAGTCCCTGTTGTTCTTGGGACAGTTGATCTGAAAATGACTTACTTTTCGCATGAAGCCGAGATTAACCACATGCTCCTCATGGCTTGGGGAGGAGAGCAGATCGAGAATTGCGAGGACAAGTCCTTCAAACGCGAAGTCAAAAGATCTGAAAAGGAGATCCGCTCTCTTGGGGTCATACATCATAATATCAAGCCCCAGAACACGTTGTGGAACCCCGAGCTACGCCGGGCGTTGATTATTGACTTTGATCGTTCGCAACTCGATTCACTTCCAATCGAAAAGCGGCAATTCTTGATGGGGAAGAAAATCCGCGACCCCTACGGCCGAAAGCGACCATCTTCAGTTCCACTCGAGTAATAAGTTATATTTCAGCCTGATTTCTCTCACAATTGCTGCCTGGCAAGAATCAGCGGGTTTTCCCGAGCCGTTTGGCGATGGCGCGAGGTTTACCGTTTCTTATAGACACAGCTGAAGTGTGCTGCCTTTCTCTCTGCCAGATATTTTGTTCTGCACTAGCTGAGGGATTCATATAGTATTAAATTCAATTCCTAGAGAAGCGAAATAGAAAGGTTCTGTGCATGAGCGACTCTTCTTGAGCTTCTGAGCGTGCATATTCCTGTAGATATCTTGATGGGTCGGACTATCAAAGACCAGATTGCATTAAGTCTTAGGGATCAGTAGCATCCATAGCTCTTTCTGCTAGATTTTGACTTAGCTGTAAGAGCAAGAATACTGATTGACATGGCTGTAACAATCATCACTCATGTGAACACACATGTCACTATCCTGGCTTTGTATTCACGGATTTCTGCTTCAATCATCCGATGCGCCTTTCACTGTCGAATGACGGAAAACAAAGCATTTTCATGACTTCAATTTCTGTCCATCAATAATCTCATGTTACAAAGCTACATTAATGTTGGGGGTTTTGTTGGCATGTCTGTATGGCAGCGCTCGTTCCTGCTCCAGTTAATCAAGCAACAGAATTAGGAATACTAACTGTCAAGGCGATGCCAAACAGACCGTCACTGATAATGTGGCTCTATTCCTGGACTCTGAAACCTCGATTGGTGTTGGCCGTACTTACGGCAGTGATGATGATAGTTGATTGAGTGTCACCTCAAACTATCATTAGTCGTAGCTCCACGCCATAAGACCTCAGCTTAACTTGGTTCTTAGTACTTATTAGACTATCATACTTCATGAATCATTGGTAAGGCTTTGATAATAACTTATCTAATATCTAATCCAGTTAGACTAGAGAGACTATTATGCTGACAGCGGCAAGACCATCCCATAGCAGGGATTCACGAATTTTCATATGATAGAATCGAAAGGCTACTTTATTGGCACCTGCCGCTCTAGGAAAAAAAAAATCTGTATTAGAAATGACCCCACAGCAGTGCTGATCTACGGCAGATTCCTATGGCTAATCAAAACCGATAGGATAGTGATCTGGCATTTGCCGGAGTAATGCAGGACAAGTGAAGCCTCTAAAGATTTTTATAAGTTCTCCATTGTTCTCAATTTTTACCAGGATATACATAGTATTCACAGTAGCAGGCACTTCAGTCACTCTTTGTCTGCTATGGGGCTTGTTATTCCTCATGTGAATCACCCATGCCTGAATTGACATTCTAGTGGCCTTAGAACATGTATATAAATGCTCCTGACATTCCCAGACATTCCCAGACTCGCCTCAGTGTCTTCTCTTCGGCCATGTACGATCTTTCTTTCAAGCTTGCCGACAGATTTGTGGCCTGATTCGGGATTTCTCTCGTGGGATGGGATCACTCTCGAACACCTTACTCAGATGATCTCAACTGGTTCACCAACAGTGACGATAATGGCTACATAGGCAGGGCATTGTCCGGAAGACTACACCATCAAGTCCGGTGGGGTCCCGAGACGAATAGCCGACATTTCATAATGAACCTGACTTTGTCTTCGACGTTTAGACTGTTATCTATTCGATATTACTGAACGAGGAAGCTTCATTGTCGCTAGGTCCGAGTCTGAAGTAAGACAACCAAATTTGGGCATAAAGCTAGTCTGCACGCTGACATGCCAAGGGTCAGAATTACTGACCGACACAAGAAGGGCGCTATCGCAAACCATGATTATTGGTTGGTTCCGTGCAGTGATGCCTACGTGTACAGAAGCTTGGCCTTCTGCACACAGACATTCCAGTATCATCTGGAAGATAGACGCCACTGGGCTGAGAATACTCTCCACAAAGGAGAGGAGATGCTTTCGTGACATTGCACCCGATCTATAACCAGATGAGCCGTGGTTGGTTCGCGATAGCCGAAAGCCACCTCAATTTTTATGTCTTTATCATGATCTCTTCTGGATCCCTGCTCTTCCTTGATATATTCAAGCAATTATCCCGGAGTAAGTCTCTGAAAGAGGAGTGAATGCAAGTTTCATCTCGGTTCTGGCATCTCCACATAGCGAGGATGACATCAACGTATCTAACATTCAGTGTTGAATAGCCCCCATGCTGGGCAACCTTGTGAGCAGTCCCTCTACTACGGACTACTGCATTCAGCGTAAACGCTCTTCGGTTAAACAAGACCTCCTAGGAGATGTGTGCCTTCAATCATGCTATTTTTGACGTACGTCAGTTCTTCAGTCAATACTGCAACCTTCTTTGAGCGGTTCATGACTATGTTGCTTCTGTTATATCTGGTTGTGGAGGACGGGAGCAGCCGACCCAGGATTCTAGTGTTGGAAGGCGCAAAAAGAGCGCAACGAAACTCAACAAGATGCGATTGAGATTTAAGACATTGGGGCACTCCGAAGCCATGCAGCGGACTTGTTATATTTAAGCGTTTATAAACGTTGCAGTTCCTCTGACGAAACCTTGCTCAATGTCCGTCTCTTCAATACGGCAGGTACCTCGCTCTCGCCTGCTTCAATGCATGCACACCGGGACTTACTTCTGTGACGTGGCCAAGGAGCTTCGGGCGCCAGTTAGCAACGAGTTGTTGCTAACGCTGTTATTACGGCTGGCTCGGTCGTCCCTTATGATGAGCTGGTTCTCACAAATGCTTCAGCGGAATCTTCAAGTGGAAAGCAATGCAGAGCTCACGCCTTTCTAACAAAGTTAAAAACATGACACGAGGTATAAAAAACAGTAAAAGACTGGATAGACGTATGAAGAGATGTGGCAGCTGTCTATCGTGTCATGGCGTGGGATGAATGCAGCTTGTCTCTTGAGCAGAAGCATGGCGACGGCAAAAATGCGCTTCAGACACCCCGCACAATGGAAAAAAATTGTCTGGGGCAATGTTTGAGGCACCAATCTGAATCTTCTCCTCGTGCACACTCTGGATTGGACGTGGAGGTGCTTCCTGGTTCTCTCCTTATGTACGACAGAGGATTGGCTGCAGAATTGCTAGCTATGGGCAATTTTTCGAGATAATATTTCCTGTTGCTCTCCGACATGGCCATTGCTTCTGAATCTCCAAAGTCAATTAAAAATGGCCAAACCTACAGTGGCTACTTCACTGCTAACTAATATATACATATTGATCTTGCCTCGTCAACGATTGGGGCATCGAACAGTTTTTGCATCTCGTATGGTTAATCCATTACTTCCACAACCCAGTGTTTTGTCTTGTTCACGCAGAGCGTATCAAGCGCAAGTCCTCCATTATATATTGGTCAGACGAGCTCGAATATCTATAGAAGGGCAACTATAGTGTCAATCGGCAATTCGAGGCACACATTGTGCCATCGCAAAACTATGAGTCCTGCTTCTGAATGGCCAACACAGGATCGTGCCATTATAGCATTATACAAGACGTGACTATAGTCAGAATTGTCCAAGATGAACAAATACAGTCATATTACCGACGATGCTGTGCCGCAGAGAGCTTCTTATTCATTATCTTCGCCTTTTCCTTTCTTTTCCTTCCTTTCCAATTCTACCTTCAAACCCTTAACTGGAGCCTTTATCATCCTTGTGAAGCCTAATCAACTATTCCGAATTATTCAATAACTCTTTTATTATATGAACACTCAGAATGAATCTCTGGCAAGATGCTTGGAGCCCCTTGGACCCTTCCCTGCAGCACAGCATGGTTGAGGTCTCAAACAACCAGAGAGAACAACAGTCTGTGACTGCTACCCCCCCCCCCCAAACCAGAGGCAACAAAAGAGAAAATCGTTACATGCCACAGCTACAAAGTACTGTAATATCGACATATGCTAGATCATGCCTATCTCGCCCACACACGAAGCGATCTTTCATTACTCTCCCGAACGCTGTCCTCGTCTTTCTGCTGGAAGAAATTCCAGGCGATAAACTTTGGTGATGCTCTACCCAAGACAATCCTCAACGTTGCTGTCCAAAACATGACTGACAGTACACATTCTCCTGGTTTTCCGTGATCCGTCGAAGACCGTATGTTGCAGAAGTCCTTAATAACCGCGAGACGAAGCTACCCTGGGGAAGAAAGTGAGAAGGAAAGCATTCCATTAACATCTACGTCTGATTGAGCAGACATTGAGTTAAACAGGGTGAACGAGAACGGGAGAATCACGGCCGTATCTATGTCCAATGGTCTCATGGGGAAAAAGCAGCAACGCTGATTAATCGAGGATCTTTGAAGGGCAGGCTAGAGAGACGTATCAAGACTTGGGCCGAAACAGAAAGCTCCCCCCGATGACGACGGATGAGGCCAGCAATATAGATTTCTGGTACCACCAGGAGGTGGCACAGAGTAAACACAAGCCAGAACACCACCTGCCGAGGACTGTACGGCCTGCTCCTGCAGGATGTATTCGTACCACAAGATCTATTAGACCCCTTTAAGAAAAGCTTTAAGCAAAGGTGTCGACGGGAAAGGACAGACCTAACGGACGTATCCCCGGAGCGCCTGTGGAAAGGCCTATATCACCGCAAAATCGACTACCCAAAGCTGACCGACCTCTACTGGAAGCTTTTGCTGAACAAGGTGAAAACAGGGGAGCCATGGATGGAACCCCATGACTGCCCAAGGTGTCAGACACTGCAAGTTGCGGAACATCTATTCTGGCACTGCCCGATCGCAAAGGCCGTATGGGACGTTATCCGCCGCATATGGTGACAGATCACAGATCGGCCGTTGAGCCTCCCCACGATGTGGACGGACCTGCTCGTGAAGGGGTTCACGTGGGCCGATTCTCGGTTCTTCTCCCAGGAGGCAAATCGAGAACGGTGGTGACTACTGTTTGGAGAAGCCCTGTGGTCGTTGTGGCTCTACCGGTGCGCTTGAAGCTTCAACGAGGTACCGGACTTCAACGAACAGGAGGCGCGGGGTTTGAACCCTCGGTGGCCGTCGACGCGCAGAAGTGCGCCGCCTCGTAAC